AATCTAATCATTTCACGTCAGGCCGAAATAAACCTTAAGTTTAAAATTTAATGTTTTTTCCTTTATCCGTTTTTGAGTTTTCTTCAAATTTCGAAATTTACACATTTTCTCAAATATCTCGAATACGGTCCATTTTAGAGAAATTATGTATAGGACAAAAATTATAGAGAATTATATTATAAACAACTTTTATTTGAACAATTTTTATAAAAAATTATGTTTTTTACATTTTGTCAAATTTCTCGAATACGGACCATTTTAGGAAAATTTTGCATAAAACAAAAATTATAGATAATTATATTAGAAGTAACTTTTATTTGAAGAATTTTCTTCTCCAAACGTAAATAACAGATATATTCCATAAAATATAAAAATGACCACCTATAAAGTACCCCCACAGATGTTCCGACACTGCCCAAAATCTAATCAGCTCATTGGACGCTGAAACAAAGCTTAAGTTTAAAATTTGGTGTTTTTCTGTGTATCGGTTCATGAGTTATGCGTTATACAGACACACACACACACACAGACACACACACACACACACACACACACACACACACACACACACACACACACACACACACACACACACACACACACAGACAGACATCATCGCGAAAATAGTCAAAACGGATTCAGGGGACCTCAAAACGTAAAAATCCGTCGAAAACTCGAGGTCGAAAAAAATCATGATTCCTATACTTTCCTTATATCTGTATACAGATAGGAAAGTAAAAAGATATCGACGTCGGTTTTCACTGCACTTTTTAAGTTTTCTCGAGTCTTTGTGGACGTTATTGGACATTGTTTATTTTTGGATCGCTCTGGACCAGCACCAAGGAAAACTTATACGGAAAACACGCTTCAAGAAGAGACCAACCAAACAAAATTAGATGATTTCTTTGAACAAGAAGATTCACCAGCTGCAGCAACGAAACCTAACAGTAATAAAACAGTTTTGTAATACTTAATGATCCAAACACAGAAATTACTGTTCTAAATAATTACTCTGTCATGAGATATTTATGTTTTACTTGCCTTCTTTCATCGGCCCCAGTTGAAAAGTAGTTCTCTTTTGCAGAAATCATTAATGCTGCAAGGAGAAATGCTTTATCTTCACTTCGAGCAACTGGTACTTATAAAGGCAAATTTCATTAAAAATGTAAAAAACGATTTTTTAAAATGATAGATTAAGAAATACGCTATTGTAAACCATCATTGTTTTTGTAATGTTATAATATATTATTCTTAAGATTAACATAGGCTTTTATTAAATTGATTTATGAGAAATTTTTTATTATTTTTTGGTAATATAAAAACTCATCAGTAATTCAATTAAACGGAATAATTCAATTACTTTTAAAGGTATTTGATGCAGATAAAGTAATTGAATTACTAGCAAAAGCAATTGAATTATTATAATTGAACATTTTCAATTCCTTTTATCAGTAATTGATAATTGCAAGCACTTTTGAAAAACTAAAGTAATTAGTAATTTGCATATAGTTTCCTGGTTGCCTAGTAATTGGTAATTGGTACTTCACATACTTTGCATTGGTAATTGTGACAGCTCTGATTGTGTGAACGGTTTATTTTAAACATTTTGGATTAGGGTACAGCATCCGAGCAGAATTCGGATCACACTTTGTTTATATCCCGAAAAAATTTGGCAAACCTAGAGCAAGCCTTAGATAATTTATACATTATTTATTAATTTATCTATGGAGTGAGCTGTAGTGTTGCTGTTGCCAAACAATTTTTATTTTCTATGTACAAAAATTTTTAGAAGAAATAAAGGGAATGAGTCTAAACTGAATATAAAGGCTAATATGGTAAGATTTTATTTAGAGTAATTATTCTGCAAATATCATTCACAATTTTTAAATTAATTGCAGTTTTGTCCATTCTACATTTAAAACCAAATGAGATGGTTTCTTACAAACATTAAAAACAACATTTATGAAAAAAGGGTTTGTTACAGGCAGTTTTTAGTAAAAATTATATTATAAATCATTTTAAAGAAGAAAACAAGGGTCTTTTGGAGTTGAGAAGAAATTTGTAAGGCATTTACGTTAAGTAGTTTTAACTTTCCAAAAGTGCACTACTAAAATAAATCTAAGATATGGTTTTTTGGATGATTTATTTAAATATTCTAAGTATATGTAATGTATAATCTCCTCTGTATGTATTGTATGTATATCAACACAATATATAAAACTGGTAAGATAATTATTACGAGGATATATCAGTATATAACGAGACTGGTGCTATAACTTCTTTCAGAGATAACATTTTATAACCTAAAAAATGAGACATGAAAGCCTTATATTTAATGTACTACCCCGCAAGTTGGCTTTGATTTAACTTTTGACATTTGTTACAATAGTAATTGAATTGTCAGTGTTTTGCGTACCCATCGAAAAATGAAAGTGGAGCAAAGATACGCGATAAAATTTTGTGTTCGATTGGGTAAAACACCAACTGAAACTTTTGAAATGATTAAAGGTGCATATCTAGATAATAGTTTATCACGATGTAGAGTGTTTGAGTGGCATAAAAAGTTTAAAGACGGTTGTGAATCAGTTGAAGATGAACCTCGTCCCGGTCGACCACAAACTGCGAGAAATGACACAAAAATTGCAGAAATTAACGACTTGATACAAAATAATCGCCGGATTGGCATAAAACGAATTTCTGACAATGTTAATTTGTCTTACGGTACCACTCAAAAAATTATTCATGAAGATTTCGAGTACCGGAAGATCGCGACAAGATGGATTCCAAAAGTGATGACCGATGAACAAAAAGCGAATCGAGTGACAATTTGTCAGCAGTGGAAAAGGCAATTGCAACGTAACCCATAGTTTTTAAATAATGTGGTTACATGTGACGAAAGTTGGTTTAAGACCGCAGAAGGCCAAAACTGCTAAAAGCGCTGGTAAAGTGATGCACCTTATTATTTTTGATAAATTTGGCGTTATTTACGATCACATTGTACCTAGAGGACATACAGTAACAGGGGAGTACTATTCTAATGTACTTCGAGGACCCTTGAAGGCAAAATTAAAGAAAAAAAGGCCGCTTTATCAGGACTTTGGCTGGACGCTGCATCACGATAATGCTCCGGCTCATAGATCAATGATTTGTCAACGAACAATTGAAGAATTAGGGGTTGAAATTATGGTTTATCCCCCCTACTCTCCTGACCTTGTTCCATGTGACTTCCATTTGTTTTCTGAAGTCAAAAAAGAATTGAGAGGTAGAACATTTGAGTCGGATTTAGAGCTCAACAACGCTGTGGTGGGTATACTAAACAGACTATCAAAAAATGGTTTCTCAGAAGTTTATGATAAGTGGATAAAGCGATGGAATAAGTGTATTCAACAGAATGGAGAGTACTTCGAAGGATAGTTGTTGAATTTTTTTAAATAAATGTTTCGTTGTTATACTATAGCACCAGTCTCGTTATTTTCTGATACATCCTCGTATATTAAAACGGAGTTGTTGTCGTTTTATTGTTTTTTTTAAATAAATTATACTGTTTAATACATTAAATAACTAGAAACTGACAAAACAATTTTTTCCGACGCCCTAAAAAAACCTTTCTTTTGATGAAAAAAATACAGGAGATTTTTTTTAACAAGATTGAAGTTTATTTTTTCATAAAATCGAATTTTTCAAAATATTTCATAAAGTAGACGGCTTTGAGAAAAAATCATTGAGAGCAATTTCGTAGGAAATAAAATAAAAAAAAGGTATCTTTTGATTTTTTCATAAAGTTCAAATTTATGGAGATATTCTCAATAATAAACTAATTAACACCATAAAATCAAAAGTTTTAAATTTTTTCTTTAAGAAATATTTTGAAAAAACTACGGTTTTATGAAAAAATAAACGTCAATCGGCTTCTTGTTAAAAAAAAATTGTCCTATATTTTTTTATCAAAAGGAAGGTTTTTATGGCATCGAAAAAAATTTAATTTTTAAAGACCACTCTAAAATATATGTTTTTTATTTCCGATATAAATATACATTGTATGTTTCTTCTGAAGTCCAACAAACCCATATTTTCTTCTATAAAATTATTTGTAACTACTTTTTACTAAAAACTTCCTGCAGCATACCCTTTTTTCAATAATGTAGGTTCTTTTAGTAAAGTCCTTTGACTTTTCTTGCTCTTCCTTGTGTTTAATGCTTGTAAGAAACCATCTAGTCTGCTTTTAAATGTAGGATGGACAAAGTTGCAATTAATTTAATAATAGTGAATGATATTTAAAGAATAATACGCTAAAATCTTACCATTAGCTTTTAATTTCAGTTTAGTCTCAGTTCCTTAATTTTTTTAACGTTTTTTTTGTGTTTAAAAAGTAATAATTGTTAGGCAACAGGAACACTACGGCTCACTCCAGGCTTGCCATAATTTCAAAATATTTCGGGATATAAACAAAGTGTAATGCGAATTCAGGTCGGAGGCCGTTCCCTAACTCAAAATGTTTAAAATAAACCATTTACACAATAATATTTCTCTTTATAATTCAAATAAAAAGTAATTCATTTGAAATTTGATGGAAATCATTACGTGATTTTTCCATGCTGTTTTGTAGCTCGTCTTTCAAAAAATCAAACTACCGATATTATAAAGACTCTAACACCAGAACAAAGTTCAAATATAAAAATATAAACACCACTAGATAACAATAAAATATTAGATTTTTTAAAAAACTAATGTACGACCCAAACTTTTTCATTCCGTGACGTCACTGCATCCTTAGCAACTGTGATGAGGCCACCGTTTTGTCTACGATACAATGAGAATATAGTAAAATCTAGATTAACTTCGTATTTTTTTTGTAATTGTATGCTATCTATAGTAACTTATATACTTATTTGATGAAGAAAAAGTCTAGAATTTGTCTTATTTACAGTTTGACTAAATAAACTTTGATATTTCATCATGCTAAATATATCTTTGCACCTGTAAACATAGGCTTAAATCATAAAAAATTTAAAATAGACCAAATATGCGAACAACCCAGATTATATCGAATCACGCCGTTTTTAATCAATGACCAATTATTAAACATCAAAATCTAAGATCTCACGTGTCTTACATAATAAATAAAAGCAACAAAACAAAAACTAGATAGACTCCCAGTAACGTAACTGGGATTTCGGGAAATTTGTACCAATAAACTTGGTTGTGAATATAACCTACTATTTATTATTTAATTTAAATATTATAAAAATGCTAAGTTGTTTCAAAATGTATTTCTATCACACACTTTTTGTAAAAAAGTTTTGAAAGGTACTGCTTCAAACTATTTGCACCAACAGGAATGTAACAGGGGTCAAATGGTTGATCGAAAATTAGCTGATTTGAAGTTACCCGTAGTTTTCGAGTTGCTACAAAAGATATAATAAAGGATTCTAAGAAACCTTTTTTATTAATACATTTTTCTAAATTTGAACTCGTGCAATAAAATCTATCTAAAGTTCCATCAAAGGATAACTATTCGGTATTAAAATTTCTTAGAATCCACGACGAAAGAATAATATAAACTGACTGATCTGATTTCATTCTGCCCCGAATTACCTCATTATTTGCAAAATATTAAATATCATAAACCATTCAAAGTTTATGTGCGAAAGTGATACTTAAAAATAGTCTAAACTAAATGGAAAAGGAAATGGAATGACCAACTACTTCGATATCTTTCTATGGTCATAAGTATTCGAGAAGAAAAATCAGTAATGAAGAACAAAATTCCTACATCATTTACTTCAAATTTCAGCCGTAAACTAATTTTCGATCAATATACGCCCAATTATTTTGTGACATGTTCATTCTGTATCAGTAAATACGATAAAAACAATACTATCTAACCGAAGTAAAACCTTCAGTCATCATGCTACTCTATACGAATCCGATTTGGACGAACAAGGCTGTATATCGTCTAAATAATTTATTGGATCCTGTTTAGATGTCGACGGAACTACTGAGTAGTTAACAATAGGCTTGTAATTGTGCGTTGTTTGGTTCACCTTGTGTTGCGGTGACTCCTTGGGGGACATCGGCCTCTCCTGCAGATGAAAACTTAAATCCTCTTCGACCGGCTCGTACTGCGCCATGTGGCATTTCTGGATCACTGATATTACGGCGGATTCTAGGCTGCATACGTATCCCAAGCACTAAAAACATTTCAATATTTTTATTAAGATAATATTTATTACAAAATACAAAGTGTTTCATGAGTTGGGCGCCATTTTTGTAACATGAATACTGATTATTTTATCTCCTTTGATATATGTGTTTGAGATCAATTTATAGGTTTTTAAATAACTCTAATAACTTTGAAAAAGAAGTTGGGCACCACTATATTTAAAACTTATACATTTAACTCTACATTAGTGATGAAAATATAGAAAATCCTAACAAATTATACTTTAAAACAGGCTTTGAATAAGGTAGTTATCAAATTCTAATTCACATAAGTTTGTACATAATTCAAATTTAAAACAATTTATTGATTAGATCAATTTTATTATTCTTATCTGAGTGGCTTTTAATAGGGTATAGAATTGTTTTATTATTATTTAGAAGAGGCAAGCGACATTGTCGATGAAACTACTCTTTTATTTAGTGACAATAATTATTTAAAATTACTACATGACAGTTAAAACTTAATTTACTATTAACTATAATGAATAAAATTATTTCTTCCTTCTTCAAGTTCTTTATCCACTCTCGCCTTGAACTGGTTTGTGTTCTGGGTTCAGACTGTATGTTCCTTGAGACCATTCTACAGCTATACAGTTCTGTTTGCAATGAAACGTTTTCTATGCAGTTTATTACACTTTTCTCTATCTAATTTCTTCGAGTTATCTCTCGAGTTCTTGATGTGCTGGCCTGGAAGATGTTATAACAGGTGTAATATCAGCTGGTTCACTTGTAAGTTTCTATCAAGTCTCCTCTGTTAAGTAGTAAAAGGCCAGTGGCCTACTCTGGCAGCACCGCCTGCGAGCGGACAGTTGACATTGATCTGAATTGTATAATGACAGTTATTAATAAATGGCTGAAGTACAACCAAGGTCTCTTTATTTCCATATTACTCAAGTGACTGGTGATTATACTAATTACACAATCACAGTTATACATCCTCTAGTTCTTCTTTCCTTTAAACTTGAAAGTTGTAGCTTGGCTAGCCGATCACAATACTCATTGTTATGTAGGGTTGGTGGTATTTTGGTGACTCTCCATTTCCAGCAGTCTCTAGGAAATTTTAAGATTCCAGAAGGAAGATTTCAAACATATCCACATAGACTTAGTGGATCCTTTGAAACCTTCAAGAGGTCATAATTACTAAATGTCAACGACAGATGTTCTAGATGGGTATTGGATAATTGCAGATTAACAGAAAGGACTGCGATAGCTTCATAAAGAGCGAGCTTGTCTTAAATCCCCCTCTGTTTGCCTGTTGGAGTAGGCGGATAAGAAGAGTCAGCGTCAACGTCTCTCTTATTCTCGCTTCATATGAATATTCATCTTTCTGTTGCTTCTTATAGTTTTGCAGTATACCCAAGAAAAATTTAAGCCGGATATGCCTATTTAATCAAGACTTGTTTCACTATCTTTTTCTGTTTTCCCCATCCTTAGCGATTGTTGTTGTTTTCACCTTACTCTTGGTCTTCCTCTACCGTTTAGTTAATATGTCCAAACTACCTTATTCTTTGGGCTTTAGCTATTTTTGTTATAGGTTTTTTATACAATTTATATAGTTCTTTATTACACCTTCTTTCTCAAACTTGCAAGACAAAGAAAATAATATTCTGTATCCAAATAAATACATACATAAAGGCTCAACTTTTGAAACACTCTTCATAGACAGAGATGCTACATATATACAAATCTAATTTTTTCCTGTCATAAATGAGTTTCTTGTTACCTTTTTGCAGTTTTTTTAACTACTTTTATACCTGATGATGGTCATTGACCAAAATAAGAAAAGAGTTCTCCTTTCTATTCATCCAAAATTTTATTTTCCAAAAACGCCGATTGTCTAGACAATATGTCCCAGTCATTAAAACCGAATGGAGTCCTCAACGCTCTGATCAGGCTCCAAATAAACTTACACAAACAATAACAATGGATCAATACCAACATCTACTTTGGATCATAGATATGGTTCCAAGTTTTGGGACAAATTCCGAATCATCACCGGTCAAAAATCCAAAACACATTCTCACATCGAAATTACGGTGAAATACACACAACTCTTGACGAGAAAGCCTTAGCATACCAGACACACCTTGAAACCATTTTCAAACACTTGCCGTTCTAGTTTTACCCTTGAATGTCGAAACTCCTTTCACCATCCCGTTCACGCTTCAAGATATCCAATACGCCTGGCCTGAAACATCTTCTTGAAACCGTTTCCCATCCATACTCTACTCCTAAACGCCTGCCTCTCCTTTTCCTACTTTCCACTTGTCTGGAAATCCGCAAACACCATTTTGATTCGCAAACTAGGCAAGGACCTCAAATCTTTAGACTTATACGGTCCTATTTCTTTCATATTACTGCTTAAAGAAAGAATCTGGGACTTTTGTGAAGAGCAAAACATAATTCTTCAATCCCAACATGGTTCCAGACCGCATAACTCCGCTCAGGGCGCAATCTGCTCACTTCATACTACTACGGTCATTTCGCAGTGAACACTCTCCAAATCTCTTCAGAAGTACTTCTCGATGTTCAAAAAGCCTTTGACCAATTTTGGCATGCTGGACTAGTTAAAAAGCTCATGAACATAGGTCTCCCCCTCAATATCTCCAAACTCATACACTCATACCTCATTAACATAACTAACACACTTAAAGTAGGCAATACCATGTCAAACCTATTTACCCCACTTGCTGGAGTACCTCATGGCTTCATCCTGCCTCCTCTCCTAAACTTCATTTATACTCACGACCTTCCACCCTTCAAACTACCCGTTGTCAAAATGTCTTCTGATAGTGCTCTGTTCTAGGTAGCTAAAAATTGTGACCAACTAAGTTCTCGAACCTTAAATCTACTGAACCAGTACCCTCAAATGTCAAAATATTGTTTTCTTAAAGAGCATATTAGGCATTCCAACGACCTGTCCAAATGGCTACCAGTGGGTAATGACAGTTTAGATATGGCAACCCTGTTGTCATGTTGTCATTAACAGGGTCAATGATACATATATAGTTATATAGATTGCTCAAAGCTGGTCGTTTACGAGCAGACATATTGCCTGGCAAATATTTATTAATTTGAATCGGTTTAGCAAAGATGTGTTTTAAAACCAATTTTTAGCCTTTAGATATTTAAAAAAAATAATTGCTTACATTTTTACTTCAAGGCATACGCTTATGTTTATTTTGAAAAATATGGATAATCAATCTATGTAACTATCTATTTCATTGTCCTTGTCAAATCACCAGGCCTACAGGGTTGCCATAATTTTGCCATATCATAACCCGTCAAAACCCACTGGTAGCCACTCAGTTTGGAATGCCTAATTGTTTACAAAATTTAAAAAATATTTAAATGTGTTTTTGATTTCAAACTTTTAAAACCTTGTTCAGAGTAGGATAGCGTCGCGTTTTCGGTAAAACAACCTAATAATACCAAACGCAAACGTTCAGAGCGAGAGCAACCAACTATGCGATATTTGAAATATCTATCAATCGCGTCGCTCGACGCAATGCTATAACAACGCGACGCGCGCCGCTCCTACTCTGAACAAGGCTTAACAATCTATATCTCGGTTACAAAGCCCTTTAAGGTTTTATGTTCCTATATCAAAATTCATCAATTTTATCGAGAGCTCTATGAGGTAGAGCGTTTTCGGTCGAATATACTAAGACCACATACTTTGATTACTATACGAGGCAAGAAAGAGGTCCGACACGCCCAACATAGGGCGCGGCCATTTTGAACCCTGTGACACAGTTTACAGCTAAAGAATCAGATCGCTCACTCTGCGTCGGCACTTATTTGATCTCAATGTTTCAGTTTATACACTGTGCAACTCGGATAATACAATATATGACAACCGCCTATAATAAAACAGCAGTCTTCTGCGTATCCTGAATTTGTATCCCTGGAGTGGATGTTATTTTGGAACTTTCAACTGGTCCGAGTGAGCTAATTGATTCTTTAGCAATAAACTGTGACTTCAAAAATAATATTCACTGACACTGACAGCAGCAAGCAAAATATGGTGCGTTTTATTCATCCGCTTCTGCTTCCGGAATTGTCGATTTAGTCGTTTTAACCTGTCAGATTAAAACAAGAAAACCGACAATTCCGAAGCAGAAGCGGATAATTAAAACGCACCTATTAAAAATATTGCGCCAAGATGTAGGCAACACGTAATAAGGGTTCAAAATGGCGGAGTTTTCTATCTCCTTTTAAAAGGCATTCAGAAAGCTGCGCAGTACGACCATTCTCCGTATAGTAAAAGAAAATCAAAGTATGTGACTAAGACCCTATAATTCACAGATATTGGTAGGTATATTTAATAATATTATCTATAGATTAAAGGCAAACACTTACCCCAGTAACCAACAACTGATGATGTGTCCATTTAGGTATTTCAAATGAAAAAATCATATGAAATATAAGACTTGAAGCTAGAAGGAACAACACACTAAGGCTTACATAAAAATATGCATTCTGAAAAAAAAGAAAAAAAAATTGATAATAAACAGAATCGTATATCAGCAAGTATATAATCAAGTGTAATAACGAGATCTTGATAAATAGTCGACTATTTTTATTAGATCTAAATTTTGAGTGTTTTTTTTATATCAATTTGTCGAAATATAATTTTGTTAATAATAATCTGAATAGAGACAGAGAGCTTTAGCTCAAGGACTTTATTCTTTGATTATAAATGACCAAATTGTAACGTTGGCCGGGCCGTATAAACCGGCAACGCTGATATTATTCGTTTCCTGCTACTGATTATATCTTAAATATGTATACCTCTGTATAGGTATACCTACAACTGGATCAACATATCTTTATCCGCGTGTTTATTAAAAAAACTGCTTTTATATTTAATTTCGATTTAGTGGACTGTATCATTTATTATTAAAACTATAAAACTTTTATTACACAATATTATTTACAAAAGACTACAAAAAAGGTAAAATTAAACTTCTAAAAATGCTATTTCTCTTAACACTTTCCTCGATTCTTCATCTTACATTATCCCAAAAATGCTTGCACATATCAAGCTTGCGCATAATGTTTTAGGTATTTACTTACAACAAGTGTCGCCACGTGCTAGAATATTGCACCGTGTTTCATTAATATCTGATATCATAAAAACACATAATAATTATTATCATTTCTATTTAGCATTTACAATAAAAATTACTAACCTCACTTATTTATTTCATTCCAAACAGGCTATGGGCATAATTACATGAAATTTTATATTAAATTACATTAAAACTTGATCATCGAATTCATAGAATAACATTTTTCTGAGTGTAAAACTTTTGTAATATTACACTGAGAAAATAGCTTCAGCTAAGCAGTTTATCTGAAAATTCCACACCTGTAATTTTGAACCAATCAAAATACGTGTTTTTGACAGATCACCATGGCAACGGAGGTATTTTAGTGGAAATTTTTTTCTCGTGGGGTACCCAACAGCGAATTATACTGGAAATTTTTTGACGTTTACAATAACAGACCATTTTTGACAGACTGGTTTCTATTTGTTCACATAAAAGGTTTAGTGTTGATACATTTTAGTTACAATGCTAAGGTGTTTTCTATATTCTTCGGCCACTTCTTTTCTTCTTAATGGCGAAAATGCAGGACTTTGGATGCTTTGAATTATGTGTCTATGTCTAATAAAATATATATAATATTTAGACACTAATTTATTCACCTTTTTCCCATTCAGCACTTTGAATTTTGCGTAGTTTAGGTGCAAATATTCGTGGACAATTCGGAACAAATTTTCGTTTTTCAAGTTGGAGCCACAATCCTCTATTAATCCGAGTAAGTAAGTCATGGTGCAATGATTGATCATTACATCAGACAATTTCACGCATATTTTGCATAGCGTATGATTTTCAAATCGATTCATTTTTAAACAAATAGGTAATTTTGTTGGTTTTACTTGCTGTGCAATATTCTTTATCGCAACAAAACGCGAGTTATTTAATGTTTTGAACTGTCAAAATACAATGATCACAGCCTCCTACGATTGATGCTTGCTGACGCTGGTTATGAATTTCATACCATTTTAAAGCGCTCATAACGCATGTTAATAAAAACGCAGAAAAACAATTTTCTACCACTTGTAGTTATTCAAAACTTACGTAAAATTAAAGAATATAAGAATATACTATTTTCTATTTTCAAATGGTATTCCCATGCAACTACAATGAGTAGAAATAAGCAATTTGAAGGCCTAAATAATTGCAGCGAAACATTTTTTTACGTCGGGCCGCTTGACAACTTCAAAACTGAAATTATATTCGAGGTTAGGGTCTCACTTAGTTACCATGACAACTCAACAATCAAGGCGACAACACCTTTTATGTTTCACTGGTGACTTGGAGAAAATAATTTGCATTGTTGAGAAACGAAAAATAAATTTTAAAAATATTTAATTTTCAACCATAATTCGGCGTGGAATTTTCTTACCGAATACCACGCGAGGTCAAATTAATATCAGGAAATTTTTTCTCGCTCATGAATATTTTTAGAAAATTTTCATGAGCTCGAAAAAATTTCCGGAAATAATTTGACCTCTAGTGGTATTACTAGTGAAAATTATTATCTGGAACATTTAAAAAATGACCTGTAATATTTAATTTTTTTATTTAATGCAGTAAACCGTGTAACAATTTCAGAAAAATTGAATCTTCAAGCGCCAGCTGTCCCAAGTTAAATGTTTTAACTCATTCAGGTACCTAAATTGGTTTTATTCATTGCTTTTTAGATGAACAATGCATGTATTGTAGTTAAAAAATTAACTAAACTATGTGTAACTAATTTTTTAAAAAAGTTTAATAAGAACCGGACCTCTCGTGAAAGCAAAAATGTTTTAAGAATTTTCTAATATAATATTGTATTTATATGCTTGCCATTGGAAATACTTCGTGATATTATGTGTCTGTAGAATATAGAGAGATTTAAATTTGTGCCACGATAAGGCAGCACTCTGCAGAGACGTTAAAAAGAAAGGTAGGAAATCATCTTATTTAAAAACTACTAGATATTTATTAAAACAAAAGGCAGCAAATTTTCATAGATTTAATACAGAATGGCGCGGAAATGTTTTTTTTTACAAAAAATTCTAGGTTTCTCCACCCTAAGTTTTGTTATTGTTGGTATTTCTTAAAAATTTCACAAAAATCAGACTAAAAATAAAATCTCAGAATGAATTATAAATTTTCAAAGTGTCTGTCTCAGATAAAATATTTTACAAAAAATAGAAAACATATATCTTTTGCATCTGTTTTAAATGACATGGCTCAGCCATTCAGTATTCGTGATTGATAGCATTAAAAACCGATTTGTTCTGAGTTAATTTTTTTAAGAAGGAGCTTCATCATCACCTTACTCGGAGACAATGTCTCTGCCACCAAGTTTTGTGTAATAGAAGTAGATCAGCTGTTTATTTACTATGAGAGTGTGAAATAATGGTACATAAATATAGTATGACGATTAATAATGTAAAATTATTTGAAGGTATGTACATTTTAATTTGATTATTCATGATCCGTGATCTAGATTTAATTAAAAAAACCACTAAAACAAAAAACACATTAATTTATATTTACGGGGGGACACATTTTACAAGTATCTGTAACCGTGCAGTTTCATCCCCTAAGCGGTGGTGAATATCACTTCTAAAATTTTAAATAGAAAGGGGTATCATGTGATAGCTCTTCTTAAAGGTCTCTTTTTTTCCAATCTTTTGACACATTATTTTTGTAAATCGGATTAATTTTTCACCAAGTTATAACCTAGAAACAGGAAAAAATATTGAATTAAAATGCATGAGTATAAATACCGAGATAAACAAGTTAGCAAAAAGCCTTAAATGTATTTTGCGTAAGATATTTTTGACCGTAAATTAAAACAATTTAATATTAGTAGATTATTGGTTTCGTTGTGTACTGACAATTTAATTTTGACAATGGTTTATTCTTTACAAGAAAGAATTGAAATAATCTTTATTTATGGTGAAGAACAACGCTGTGCACGCAGAACTGCTCGTGTTTTTAATCAGAGACATCCCGATAAAAATGTTGGGCATCAGTATGTGTTGGATTTAGTTCATAAATTTCAAGAAACTGGAAGTGTGTGCAATAAAACTGTAAGGAATCGTAGAGTTTTAACTGAAGCTGCACAAGTTGAGATTTTAGGTCATTTTGCCATGGAACCTCAAACATCAATACCAAAAGTCTCCAGATTAACAAATATTTCCGTTGGCTCTGTGCATAAAACGTTACGGCTAAATAAATGATTTCCTTACAAAATACAGCTGTTACAACAGCTTGCTGAGGATGATTATGACAGAAGATTAGAATTTTGCGAATTAATGACTGAAAGGGCAAATGAAGACCATAATGTTATTAAAAATATTTGTTTTACTGACGAGGCAGGTTTCTTTTTAAATGGATTTGTCAATAAACATAATTGTAGGTACTGGGAAAATACAAATCCACATGTTTTCGGGAAGAGCACAGCCAATATCCTCAGAAAATCAACGTATGGGCCGGAATTCTTGGTAATAAAATTATTGGTCCTATTTTCATGGAGGAAAATTTGACTGGGGAATTGTATTTGAACTTATTAGAAAATCTGATAAATCCTCTTATAACCGAATCCTTAGAAAACCAAATAGATCAAGATGGAAATTTGTTACTAGACGAAGAAAACCTATTTTTTCAACAGGACGGAGCACCTCCACATTATGCCTTGCCTGTACGAAATTGGCTTAATGAGACATTTTCAGATAAATGGATCGGAAAAAGGGGCGCTATAGAATGGCCAGCGAGATCACCCGACCTAACGCCCCTTGACTTTTTTTTATGGGGACATCTAAAAACTGTGGTGTATAAAACTCAACCTCGCGATATTCCTGAACTTAGACGTAGAATAGTGGAGGAGTGTGAGCGGATTACACCAGAGACGCTTCAAAAAGTGCGGGATGAATTCGAGCTGCGACTTTACCATTGCCTTGCCAACAATGGCGGACATTTTGAACATCTTATTTAAGTACAATGTAATTCTTACGCAAATAAAATATTAATAATGTAAATACAATGTAAATAATAATTATTTTAATTTAAAAGGTTAAAATGGCATAAGTTGGTGAAAAATTAATCCGTTTTAAAAAAATAATGTGTCAAAAGATTGGAAAAAAAGAGACCTTTAAGAAGAGCTATCATATGATACCCCTTTCTATTTAAAATTTTAGAAGTGATATTCACCACCGCTTAGGGGATGAAACTGCACGGTTACAGATACTTGTAAAATGTGTCACCCCGTAAATATAAATTAACGTGTTTTTTGTTTTAAAGATATTTTAAAAGTTATTTTGGGTGGCTAGTTTTGAAATGAAATCCCTGTATAAAAAGTTAACAATGGTATAAAAACATTTTAGGTAAACAATGTTGAAGGTTATCTAAGGCTAGTTGTATTAATAAATAAAACGGAACTAGATTTGAACCCTGAAGAATTTATATTGAACCAACTTGATTTTAAAACTTCTGTTTTCCGAGTAACCTTTAATTAAATAGAAACATATTCCAAACCTACTTAATTTGCTAAACAGTATTTCCCATTTTGTTATCCACCTTGTCAAATGCTTTCCAGAAAAATGTAAAAATAACATATGACATATTCAATAGATGATTTCATCGGAAGACATATTGCAGTTGCAAGGTCATTGCAAGAGCTTTCGTCATCTATCAGTTTACATAACAAGTAAAAGGAAACTGTAAATTTATCATTTCGAAAATATGTCTAAGGTTACGGCGTTAGCATAAATTTCTTTTTTCCTTGCCTTCTTCTATTGTCGTATGGGTTCACTTTTTTACTATCTACCCAGTGCCGGTGTTTCGTTTTTATTATGAATCTTATTTTTAAAGGTTACAGCTTTTACTTAAATTATATAATTTTGAAAAAATTGTCTTTTTGATACAGCTAGAGTTTATAATTCTTAACTAGCTTAAAAAAAATTATTGGCGCCCTTTCTTTCCCGAAAATTATTTCCCCAAAAGTGTCTATTAGAAAAGCTTAAATTTATGAGTGAGAAAAACATAGTCTATATGTGCTCATTTCATTTTCTGATTTGATTAAAGGTAATGTTTGGTATAAAATATCTAAGAGCTAGTCAAAATAAGTATTTATAAAAGGTAATTGAACGTTAATTATAACTATTATTGCACATTAACGCCATTTTATTACACTATGTAAACTGATAGATAGGGCAAAGCTCTTGCAATGACCTTGCAACTGCAATAAGTCTTCCGATGAAATCATCTATTGGTTCCCGTTCTGAAAAGATTTATAAATTCAGTTTGTAAATAAAAATAAATTAGTGGTCATGGTAATAGATTTTTGCATATAATTTTTGCACTGTAATAAAGATATGTTGTTCCAGTTTTTCTAATAATAAAAATGTTTACTTACCACTTTTCCCCAATTAAAAGGAAATAAATATATGATGTGCGATATATCAAGAAACAGCAAAAGGCAAGTTACAAACATACTTAATAATGTTATAAACATCATGAATCGTATTCTTCCCACTGACGGAAGCATGAATAGTCCTACTTTGAGAGTTCCTGAGGTACACAGACATGCCAGACACGCTATCGACGTTGCCTAAAATAATAAAACAAAATTAAAGTTTTCTATTCCATAGTAAAAACAGAAGAAAGAAGGCATAGTGAAGGGATGAAATAGATATTTCTATAAATGTGGTTTAATTTGAGATGTACAGACTTGCTATGGAAAATGCAAATATACGAAAATTTAAGTAGGATTCGATAATTAGAAAAACACCGCTACATCATAACCATTACTTCCAATTTCGAATAAATATTAATTATAACTTTCAATCAACAAAAATTAAGTAAGTTGTTAGGTGTAAAACAATATTTCCTATATTTCTATAATATTAACACCCCACTAAACCCCCATTAGGAGGCTGTAACCAATTAATTACGTTGTCAAATGATGACGTAGCTGTGTTCTTCTAATTGTAATTGGACCCTACAATTGGATAGGTAGCTGTTTTCCTAAGAGTTCTAAGACGCCTTGTCAGAAATAAATCCCCATTATTTTGGATCCTACAATTTCTATGCAAGTTTTTATTTTTCTAATATACGAATTTATTTTTTTTTGTCATTTAGTTTGGTTTGTTTGTTTGTTTCCTTGAACTGTTATTAATTGAAAAGCTTGATTTGAGAAGTTCTTGTGCTTAAGATTTATAGATAATTTTGAAAAACATATATTTTCCGCTAAACGTGCTTAAACAATTAATCAGCAAGTTTAAAACAATTGTTTATTCACCATGATAGCAGTTTCTCATGGTATAAAACAGATTTATATGGTAGAATAAGAATCTATTATGCAATTTTGGCAAATCATCAATAATTGATATAAGGTCTAATCAATTAGATGACAGCAAATTGGTCAGCTTTGCGGCATTGTAAAAATGGTATCGTAAAGTTTTATTTGAAATTATTTGGGGGACAAGTTTAGTAAATACATATTTCTTATATAATAAATACACAACAAAAAAGAGGAGCACCATCACGTAGTTTAGGATGAAAGAAATCACCACAATGTTTAAAAGAAATCGTGCTGTAGTCCATAGACCAGAACTTTCGCATTGCAAAGAGCACTGCCAAAAGAATTATCGCAAAATTGACATAGGGGGTAATACTCATGAACTAAAGAGTTACCAAAGTAGAAACAATTTACGCATTGTTTCTGGACTGATGACAGGAAATTGCCATCTAGATAATCAGATCAGAAGGATAGGTCTACAAAAAACGTCGGACTGTCAATTCTGCACCGTGGAAGGTGATTCCACAGAGCACACTAGGTTCCAGATATTCGGATTCACCTGACTGGAGTCTACCTTTAAACAAGTCTTACACAGCACAACCAAGGCCTTCATTAAAAGTTGTGACTTATACGGTGACCTATAAGTTAGACCTGATTCAACAATAAGTCCATACGGGTCGAAGTAGAAGGCGATTAAATCATTTTACTCATTTTCAACCCTAACCTATCATGAAGTTTATTTTTAATGAAAATTAGAAAAAATCACTAGAGCATTTTTTTTTATTAAGAACAAAAATATTTGGGCAATAAAAATCTCGATGCTCAATTATTATTTGTTTCATATCTGTAAATAAATTTAAAATAAAACCAAGCCGACTCTGAGCACATCGTTTGTGCAAAGCCGGTTCTCGAAAAGGACCCAATACAATGGCCGAAGATAATCGAAATTTGCCTAATGTTTTTAATGTACTTTTGTAAGAATTACATTTCAGGGTACAGTCGAAATCCCACTACCCATTAATTTCTTAAAAACAAGACGCAAAAAAGGTGTGCGGCTCGCTGTTACTTTGTTACTATGCTAAGGGTGCGTACATACCGAAAATGGAGGGATGATCCATGAGCAATGATCGATAATTGATGACCAATAGGCGATGCTTAAGTGGAAGACAATCATTATAACTGTTGGATTTATAGGCCTCTAACAGTTGAATCCAAACACAAATTATAAGTACGGCCCTAAGGTATGCTTATCAAGTGGACTGTCTCCTGTCGGTGCTAGCTGCAACCATCTCCATGTGCACAATGAAATTCCAACACTTTGTAAAAAACAATTTATTGTGCACAAACGCTGCACGACAACTTTCAACTTTGTACATATTTACATTATTTTATTTAACAACTACCTACATGTTTAATACTGCACTAGGACTTCACATTTTGTTTTATGTACTATCTTTGCTCAAAGAACTTAAGTTATTTTAATATAACATAAACGAATTGTCATGATGCTGGTGAGAGACGATCCTCATGAAAGCACGAACCTCTCTGTTTATTTGTCTTGTTTTAAAGAGAGAGATATATGATTACATCACCTAAACCTCCGAGCAGTAGTAATTGCTCGGAGACCTAAACTAGTTAGCCTTTTGTTTTTCACGCGGGAGTCTGTTGGCATACATGACTTTTGTCACGTAGACCCTTGTTAGTCGCCAACAATGAACACCTGGGTTCGCGAGCACAGGACCGTCTTTTATATGTTTCAAAAAAATTCGTTTTGGAACAGTAACATTGTACTGATTTAAATAAGAGCATACAAAGGTACCAATAATTAGCACACCTTTGCGCCATCAGTACTTACAGCAATATCTTTGGTATGTATACTCGATCATCGAGACATCTTCGGTATGTACGCACCATAAGCAGAAAAAAGTCAAATATACTTGATTTTCTTGTGTTAGGGTTAGACGTAGCAGGTCTAAAGAATAGATTTGCATATTTATTGTTCATGACATTTCTATAATATTTTTTAGTGATTAAAAAATTCCTAGTAAAAAAGACAGTTGTAACATATGCAGTAAAATTTGTACTTTGAAAGTTAAAAGCAAAAGAAAATGTTTGTAACCGTATGAATTATTCTGTTACGTAACAGATCAAAACTATTTCCAATATAAATATAAACAATAGATGTTTTCATTGGAAGATATATAACCGTTGCAAAGTTATTGCAAGAGCTTTCGCCATCTATCAGTTTACATAACAAGTAATAGAAGTAGGATTTTATTTCAAAGGAAACTGTAAATTAGTCGTTTCGGCAATCCGTTTAAGTTTACGCTCTAGTCTTTATAGTTGCGGCGACAGCATAAATTTCTTCTTTTGTATGGTTTCACTTTGTCACTGGCTACCCAATGCCAGTGTTTCGTTTTTAAAAATACGCTTTAAACACGTAAAGAAGAAGACATGGAAAAACAAGAAAATTATGCTGACGCCGTTATTAGATAGTATGAAGATTAGAGAGTTATTGCAAGTTCACTTATAGTTAGTCTCTATTAGCGCCGCTTTTATTTTGATATCTGAGCATGCGCAGAACATTTACGTTCTAGAACTGATCAGAGAATTGACAACGCGCGACAAGCAACGCGAGACCGAGACAGAAAAAGAAGTAAGGTGGCAAATATTGCCATACAAAATCTGATGTCGTTGGTCGCTTCAATCAAAATGGGTTTCATATGAGTTATTCCATACAAAATCGCCAGAAAATAAAAAAAATTGTTGCTGATCCATTTTAGATTTTGGTGTTACTTTGAAGAACTATTCCTTAGGGTCCCAAAGAAGAACATTTACACGAGTTTGATTTTTATAAGTACTCCTTTCCACCTATTTAAATAAAGACTTTAAAAAATCGATATTTTTAAGCCTTATCGACTTTTCCTCTGAACTTTTTCTTTTTGAAGATAACTACATTATTAAAGCGGAATTCTGAGGGGGAAAGATTGCAGTTTAAGTGTAAGCATCGATAATTTGCCCAGTCAATACCTTTGAATAACGGCAGCTTGCTGAAAATGAGTGTTTTTTGATCATTTTTCGTGAATTTCAATCGACTCTAGCGTCTTAACTGCTTAGACTTAGCAGCTTATGTTCCTCAGAAATTAAGTGTATATATCATAGATAAAATACAGACACAAGTCAAACTGAGCAGCCCACTCTTTACAGAAAAAAAATTTGCTTGAAATTTTTAAATTTTCAAAAATTGCATTATTCAGGTTATACAGGGTGTACCAATAATAACTCCCAGGCCGGATATTTTGGTAAGTATTAGAGATATTTTATTTTTGTAAAAGCCAGTTTATAGAGCGCTAAGAGAGCTTCAATTTTAGATATAAAATAATTTTAAATAGGTCAATATGTAGATGGCGCAGCGCTCAATATTTTTTTTTCGATGGAAGGATCTTTCTTATATAGCGCATCTTGTAAAAAATGCATTTTTAAGCAGATTTTGTCTTATAAACTAATTCGATAAATCTAGCCATTTTTGATATACAGAGTGGGTCACTCATTTTAAGAAAATGCTTAAACAGTTTGATTTTTATTGAAAATTAATAACATTTTTACAATACAGACATCTGTCATGTGTCAACCCCCTCCCTTGCACTTCACCAACACCTTAATTTTAAAAAAGGAATGTACCATGTATGGCACATCATTGAAAAGGTAATTTTGTGAGGAAGTCATAAATATGACTGTTTATTGAGATACTTTTAATTTTAGCGCCCTCTATTAGGATAAAGAAACCTGTAACGTATTATAAAGTGTGACACTTCATTTGAAAGCTAATTTATTTACTAATTCAATGCACCACATATCAATATTATAAATATTTTTATATTGCACTTGCAACAAAATAAAATTAGCAATAAAAGTGTTTAAAATAATGCATGACTAATGTTCAAACTATTGCAAGTGTAATATGCAGGATATTTATATTAATAATATGTAGTGCATTAAATTAATAATTGAATTTACTTTCAAATAAGGTGTCACACTTTATAATACATAGTTTTTTATCCCGATAGAGGGCGGTACAATTAAAAGTATCGAAATGAACAATCATATTTATAAATTCCCCATAAAATTACCTTCTTAATGATGTATTACACATTGTAGTGTCACACTCTATATTACGTAATAATTTTTTTTCCGCTAGAGGGCGATAAAATTAAAGTAACGCAAAGTACAGAAATATTTCTGAATTCCATATTAAATTACCTTTTCAATGATGTACTATACATGGTACATTACCTATTTACAATTAAGGTGTTGGTGAAGTGCAAGGGAGGGGGTTGACACATGACAGATGTCTGTATTGTAAAAATGTTTTTAATTTGAAATAAAAATCGACTTGTTTTAGCATTTTCTTAAAATTCAATGATTAATGCTGAAAAACAGGATTAAACTGTTTTGAGTGACTCACTCTGTATATCAAAAATGGATAGATTTATCGAATTAGTTAATAGAACAAAATCTGTTTAAAAATGCATTTTTTACAAGATGCGCTACATAAGAAAGACACTCCCATCGAAAAAAAATTATTGAGCGCAGCGCCATCTATGTATTGACCCATTTAAAATTAATTTACATTTAAAATTAAAGCTCTCTTAGTGCTCTGTGAACTGGCTTTTGCAGAATTAAAATATCTCTATTACTTACCAAAATATCCGGCCTGGGAGTTTTTATTGGTACACCCTGTATAATGACTGCCAGATAAAAATCTGAAACTCTCAGAATCTACTGCTCTTACCTTTAACTTTAAATGACCGTACCACTTGTTTTGTTATTTTTATGTTTAGTGCATATGCGAGTCGTTTTTTTACAGCAAAAATCAACTCAATTTTTTATTAATTTCCAAATAACTAGATGCTTCTATTTTGAAAAAAAATTCGACTTATGTATAGGATTCTTATATATCTTTATGAAAAAACATCAAGAAAAACTGAATTTATAAGATTATAAAATAAAAAAAATTGAGTTGATTTTTGCTGTAATAAACGACTTGCACATGCACTAAACATAAAAATAACAAAACAAGTGATACGGTCGTTTAAAGTTAAAGGTAAGAACAGTAAATTCTGAGAGTTTCAGATTTTTATCTGGCAGTCAACACGTTCATTATATAACCTGAATAATGCAATTTTTGAAAATTTCAAAACTTCAAAACTGCTCAGGTTGACTTGTGGCTGTATTTTACCTATGATATATACAATTAATTCCTGAGGAACATAAGCTGCTAAGTCTAAGCAGTTATGACGCTAGAGTCGATTGAACTTCACGAAAAATGATTAAAAAAGACTACTTTTCAGGATGCTGCCGTTAATCAGAGGTAATGACTGAGCAAATTATCGATGCTTACACATAAACTACTATCTTTCCCCCTCAGAATTTCGCTTTAATAATGTAGTTATCTTTAAAAAGAAAAATTTCAGAGGAAAAGTCGATAAGGCTTAAAAATATCGATTTTTTAAAGTCTTTATTTAAATAGGCGGAAACGAGTGCTTATAAAAATCAAACTCGTGTAAATTTTCTTCTTTGAGACCCTAAGGAATAGTTCTTCGAAGTTACACCAAAATCTAAGATGGGTCAGCTTTGCCAATTAGACGATTTTAAATGGAATGACTCAAATATGTGTTTAGACATGAAGAGGCCGTTTAGTGTCTCCCTTGCTACCGCAGCGCATTTTGAAGTCGGTTTCTGCCTCGGCTTGCGAAATGGTAGCTTTAAAAAGATTGCTGAAGAAATTTACAGTTTCTTTTGAAATAAAATTCTGTTTCTATTGTTATCTAAACCTTAAACTAGGTAATAAACCTAGTCTAAGATCTAAACTGATAGATGGCGCAAAGCAATGTCTTCCGATGAAAACAGCTATTGCTGGTTTCCTTTTATATTGTTTTATATGAGTCTATTTTTAATAGGTGAAAATTGTAACTTTAAAGAAATGAGGTTATTACCGCACCGAATTTATTCGGTATAATGCACGGATACTTACCAGTAATAACAGGCGAAAAAATCCGGTAGACGTTCTAATCTGTGTGTGATCGCAATAGAGGATGACCCCCGAATAGAGCGACAGATCGGGCGAGGGTGGGTGCCGGCGGTAATGAGAGTGCGAGTCCCAGGAGTTGACCGTACCGAGGGGCGATTCGCACTCACAACCTCCCGCACATTCGGAAGCTCCGCTTAGGGCCCCCGTCCTGCTGCCCGCTATCTCGAAGTCCTGCAACACACAACTCATACCATCCGGATCCTGCAACAGCAACAGCTAGCATACACATCTGACAACAACAGTGATGCAGTGAAATAAGTCATAAAAGAGGTGTGAGAAGTGTAAGGTGTTTAAGTAAATGTGCCCGTTTCAATAACAGATTTAAAACCATCAGAATCATTTAATTTTTTTTTAAATAATGTCGATTGCTTCATATCAGAAGGGCGTATGAACCAACCGGTAACTTTTTCAGGAGACGCAAAAAACATTTTAAAAATCAGAATTTATAGTAAAATGAGAAGACTACAATTTATTGGAAAATTTTGCATCTAGTCTCATGCCAGTATGTAAGGAGTTTTTGTTTTATACGCCCTTCTGAAAATCCTAAAGACGTCAATACTGGCTCTTACGCACTTCTGAATTTTTTTAAGACCGACCAAAAAATATACACTTTCTAAACAATTTTTCGTCAAGAAATAGTATATTATGCAACGATCATGTAATGATGGTTATTAATACACGAGCATTAACCGGGATACGAAACGAGCCAAAGGCGAGTTTCGTATGGTTTATGCGAGTGTTTTAATAACCATTACATGAGAGTTGCATACGCTATTTTTTCTACACCCGATAAATAATCAAGACCTATAAATATTCTATTTATATTGGTATTGAACACAATAACAGTAATTACTCGTATTTCTATAAAAAATTCTACAAAATTGTAATTAATGGTATTACCTTGGGTACTGGTATTACCACAGATTTTTGGGGCAAAATATTTTGTACTGCATTTTCTCCTTTCTCCTATATGTGTGGAGGAGTGTTCTATATCGCTGATATCAGACATTTTAATATTATAATTATCGAAGTTTAGCTATCTACGAAAATTTAATACGTTTTGACAACTAAAACAATTACATAGGAATTTAGGACAAACGTCAAACATCATGCTTGATTGAAAAATTGTAGGTTTCTATTGATTAAAAATCTGTATCATAATGAAAAATCTGTATCATAATGGGTATCATTATGAAACGGATTATGGGCATATAAGTGCATTATTATAATACGGGTGTAGAAAAATAACGTTTTGTCAATTAAGAACGGAAAGTAGACATTAGGGACCGGTAATAGTAATTAACGTTACAAGACCGGAAAGTAATGTTTTGCAGGACGAGCCGTGGGCGAGACCTGGAAGCTTGGAGCACTAATTTTCGGTCGCGTGACGTACAATATTTTTTTTAAGACCGACATTTCCATGTAAACTCAATTATTTATTTTATTGATATAACCAACAAATAAAAATCAACGAACTGTCGGTTGGCAATAAATCAAAACGTTGTTACCATAGTAACGAAATCAAACAGCGATCGGAAAAATGAAAAACATGGATCGGAAAAAGTTTTACCGGTCCCTAACGTCTACTTTCCGGTATTGATCGACAAAATTTTATTTTCTGGACAAAAAATTGTTCAGAAAGTATATATATTTTCTTAAAAAAATTACTGTTAAAACGTTTTGTATGAGTTCTCTTATAACACTTGTTTAAATCATTATTATATTGAAAATTCCAAAGAAAATAAATAGAGGATACAGGCTTTATTGTCTTGCAATCATATTTAGTATTTAATAGATTCAAAATTACAAGAAGAAGTTCTCTACTTAACTAAATGAGGTAATATAGTGATTTTTGTAAGATATAACAAATACTAAGAATATTCAATACATCTCAGAAAGATTAACATTCTAGGCTTTAATTCTGTTGTTAATGGCATGGCTATTTTTCAGTTTTTACTTGTTAGTTTTTTGAAGACCTCTTCTTTAGTACAGTCGCTAAACCAAATAACTATGTCCTTCTAATTGGCAATATAGAAAAATACTGTTTGAAACTGTACAATGAATAATTGCCATCTTGTTTTATTATCAGTCTACAAGGTGATCATTTTTTCAAAGACCAATTAAATCAAAATTAGTTTGATGTATGTCATTGAAGAAGATTATTCAGTGATTAATTTTAAATTTGCTATATTTCTGTGATGGAATAACATTTACCAATAAATCACATCAATAACTATTGATTTTATGAGACAAGTGAGGTAAAATTAGATCACTTGCTTTCCTTGTTTATTAAAATACGTTGTATAAGAAGAAAATAATTATAAATTGACCATTTAACGAATTTCCAAGAATTTCATGTTTGTACAAATAGAGCAATATTTATTATTTACGAATAGCTCGCGATTTGAAAGAATATAATTGAATGTATTTTCTTAACAACTCCAATTAAAAATGTTCTAAATACGTTGTAAAAATGTAGGTGTTTTTCTGAAAAATAGCTTCAACATAATATCGCAAATAATAAATATACAGTGTGTGTCATAAAGTTGGATTTTTTATAAAATTGCGATTTTGACAAATAACTAATATGTCGTCAGTAGCCAACTTTCATATGGACTATTTTAAGTTTTTAAATAAAGTAATTGTCCTAAAACTTTTTTTTTTCAATTCTATACGCATCCAACTTTATATGGCACACACTGTGTATATAACAGAAAATAGTTTTAGGCTCAATATATATTATTATACTCTTCACACAGCTCTGTGAGGAGAATTACGAATTCGGTGGTTTCGTCCGTCCGATATCACATTTTTGTCCGCATGATACTCGTAAGTCAAAAAAGAAAAGCGATATCCATTTGAAAATTTCAGAAAAAAACAAGGTTTATAAGCTATTGGGTTTGAAAAAAATCTGAATAAAATGAGAAATATAAAAAAAATCAAATCTCTATAAGGGGAAGTCTTTTAATTTTCAAAAAAATGGGGGGTATAAAGGGGGTTAAATCAAAAATGAAAAGCGATATTAACATGAAATTTTTAGTAAAAATTAACCTCTATAAGGCAATGAAACCTATTGATTCTGAAAACAATTTGAATCAAAATTGGGGGATAAGGGGGGTTGAAATATTGAACAAAATCCTCACTTAAAAATAAAAAAAACGTTATCAAATTAAAATCTTCAGGAAAACGGAATGACGTATAAAAATTTGATTGATGATGGGATTAAGGGGGGTCTGTTAAATTGTTAAGGGTATAATATAGAATGCCAAGCATTATAAGTCTTTATTCTAGTTCATAATAAAAAAAACAATCATTTTCTAGTATCAGTGCATATAATGAACTTTTAAGCATTGGAAAAGAGGGTTTTCATTATTAGCAATAGAAGATATCAATTTTAACTTTGCTTTCTAGCAAAGATTAATTTATTTTCTAGTGATTACTAAAATACAAAAAAATATAGCCACTTCACTGATAAAAATGTCTAGCTGTTTGATGCCTATGGTGTTTTACCAGAGATAACAGGAGATGTAGTTATTCATTGATAAAGATAAAATATAATATTCATGTCAACATTAATCTGCGACAGTTAATACGCTCCAATTGTAGGTCTAAAGTGAAGAGACGTGCAGTGAGAGATAAAAGGGGATAAAGAGAAGGATTTTACGGCGATACAAAACATTTTTTCAATGAATATATATGTAAGCCAAGTGTAAGCGCTTGTGCGCTTATAATAAACAACGTATAAGCCTTGTTGTCATGTCCAACTTAACATTAACTAGATTTTGGAATTTACTGAAAATTATATTATCTAATTAAGTGAAATAACATCTAATTTAGTTAAATTTGATATAACTAATGATTCAAACTTTTTTGGGTTCTTTTGCAATAAAATAGGTTGCATTATTTTAGCATTTTTAATATATGTAAATAAGTTTGTAAACAAAAAAAGAAAAATTAAATAGACATGACAACACCGGCTATTATACCCTCCTGTGTTTTCTTAGAATATGTCTTATTCACTACGGCACGATATCTCTTGTTATCTGTGTTTTACACTTCCGAGCCGTCTATATACCAAACTGATTCGTTTTCTTATTTTCCTATTAGTAGTTACTATGCAGATATAGTACGTAAATGTTGGAATAAATTCGATAATAGTAGTTTGTGCAACAAGCGTGGATATAATGGTCACATCGCACGAAGACGAAATTTGTACAGTTGTACAGTATATTTTTTTTACAACCCACAAATGAAAATTTACAATAAAAAAATATTTTAAATTTTATTAAGAAAAAATAACTAATTTTAAAATAATTTATGACCTCTAATAATTTTTAAAATAAAATAAACGATAAAAATAAATTAGTTTAAAAGTCCCCAGCCGAGGCTTGGAAGTCAGATACTCTTACTACATATCCACCGGCATATTTGGGAAATTTTTTTGATACTCCTAATTGAATTGACTTCATAGAGTTTTATTAAAATTAACAAATTATTTATAATTATAGTATAAATAAAAATAAAAATGATATTTATATCGATTCTATACAAAAATAAGTAATTTTAATGTATATATAAGTTCAATAACTAAAAAATATACTGACAATTAGTTTGACAGAATTATCACTTATTTAAAATTTTAAAAATAATAGCAGTCAGTTGATCAAAATATGAACTGTGGTTGGTGGATTTAATTTTTTTGCAGTGTTCTCTTACTACATCGAATGAATATAAAATATATTCGTTCAGTTAGTGGCAATAGTATACTTTTTCGTTTTGTAGTCGTGAGTAGATTATCTAATATCATGTAGGTGTAGAAAAAATTTATTTTTTATTGGTCAAATAAAAGATTAATGCTTGGTCATGTCGATTTTATTTTTTAGATGTGCATATTTTGGTGTACATATATCTTTTATGATGCCATCACTTTTCGGATATAACGTCATTACGTTTTTTAAATAGTACCACTATTTTTGATAGAGCCATTTAAAAGAGCTATAGGCAACACATTATACACTACTTACGTCAAATTTTCAATTTTTTTATCTACCTATAACCAAACTTATATGGAATAACTGTATTTCTGAATAAATTTTTTGTAATGAAAAAATTTGGTATCCAACTTTAAGTTAAGGCTTTTTGTTCTAAACAAACATGATAATAAACAAGGAACGTCTGCTTAATAAATCCTAAGATGCAGTAGGAAAGAGATATGGGTCCCACCGTAATCTAGGCAAAATAAAATTGACCGGCTAAATTGGTGCCTTCAACACCAAAATTGGACAATTG